AAGCATTGGCCCTTGAGTTCTCTCTTTCTCTGTGTGCTTCCCGACTTTATATGTATATGGCCTTTGGGTGGGCCTGATACCCCTAGGATGCATAAGTAATACAATGTTTCTAGCATGCATCTCTCCTGATCATTAGAAGAATGCTCTCCATCTCAATGAACCTCAGTTAAGTGTGGGGAACACGCTATGCATTTTACATCTGTTACTATCTTATCCACATTTAACCACCCGGGAGAAAGCCATGGCTAATTCATAGGAGCCTGACCTAGAATCCAGAGCCCTGGCTCTGCTATCAGCAGGCTGTGTGAACACAGGTGCTGTATGTCTGAGTCTGCAGGCGGAGAGGAATAATACAATGGTAGGCTATAAAAAGTGCTTCGTACATGATGTATATGAATGCAGTTTCAATGATCATTGCTATGACTCTTAAATATAACAAAACATAGGTTTAACAGCTGTGTGATTTGCCCTGCGTCAGAAGGGTAACCTAGCTCTCCTGGGTTTGTGCCAAGGAACTTCTGCCCAGTCACAAGCAGTCACCAGTAAGTCTCTGATACCTAAACGATAAACTCTCCGCATACCACACAACAAAGGCACCAGATAGCTGGTGGGTGGAAATTCGACGAATGATAGACATATCTGAGATGATGTTTTAGGGAGAAAGGAATTATTTCATCAGGTGTGTGCCTTGTGTACACAGCCAGACACAGACTTTCTATAAAACCCTACTGATGATACAACAATTTCTTTTTTGTCCTTCGAGTCTTAGTATACAACCAGACCTCTGGAATGGCAGGTGCATGTTCACCCAAGGAAAGCACCATGGGAAGGAAGAGCCAAACACTGCCCGTGTTCTATTTGATACAGCTCCTCTCTCTGTCCCCTGATCTGTGGAATGGCATAGGTTGTTTCTACCCTGTAGCCCGCCCCTGTGTCCACAGGGAGAAACAGTCTCAGACACCCCTGTGCAGCTCTGAGCTCCCACACGACACTTCTCTTGCTCTGGCTCACACTTGTCATGGATGACAGGGTTTCCTGGATACCAACTATCTGTTCACAAAGGCAGAAAGAATTAGAAAGGGCAGGGAAGACATTACAGTCTGAAAGTAACTGGATTTTATTCAATCAAGACTTGGCTTGCCCAGGACCTTATATTTGGCTTGATGCATTAATTTCTTATTTACAAATGTGTTCTATTGTAAAGGTAATTTGTTTCTGGAGAAAAAATATACTCTGGCTTTCAGTCATATACATAGTTTTTAGTTAGTATCTTAGTGCACTATGGTGGTTAGACCATTGTTCCAAACATTCAGTGCCTCCTCTCTGTGCTTATCCAGCACACTGAGAGCGGGCTACCTCATGTGGCCTTCTTTGGCCAATGAAATGTAACTACAAATGACATTCTAGAGCATAGGCTGCAAAGTTATCCCCATGTCCCACCATCGCGCTGCCCTTTGCTTCTGTCAGCACAGTGACTAGAGCAAGCGAGGCTGTTCCATTCGCTAGATCCTGAAACAATGAAGACATATGTGGACAGCAGATTTCCAGAGCCACCCCACAGCTGCCGTACGATGCAAGTGAGGAGAACCTTTTCGTTATAATAAAACCACTGGGACTTGGGGGTTTATTGTGATTGCAGCAAAAGCTACTTAATTCTAGCTACCATATTCTCTAACACTTATGTAGATCATATTGATATTATTCTAAAATCCCACATATTCGCTATCAAAAGCTGCTGAAAATAATACTTAAAATGACCACAGTTATTTTTTTATAAGAACTGGAGCTAGAGGCAATATACTCTTATAGGAATAATATCATTCTTGTTAGTATTCAGAAGGCGAACTGGCCGTAGGCATGTTTTGATGCTTCTGGGCACATCTTAATTCCCTTACACAATGGGGTTTTCATTCTAGGTGTTTGTTCTGTACTGTGGGATGGTCTGTATGTCAAATGTGTTGCTGATTGGTCAATAAATAAATCACTGATTGGCCATTGGCTAGGCAGGAAGTATAGGCGAAACAAGGCGGAGAATAGAGCTGAAAAGTGAAAGGCTGAGGCAGAGACACTGCCAGCCGCCATCAGGACAAGGAAGATGTAAAGTACCGGTAAGCCACAAGCCACGTGGCAAGGTATAGATTAATAGAAATGGATTAATTTAAGCTGTAAGAACAGTTAACAAGAAGCCTGCCACGGCCATACAGTTTGTAACCAATATAAGTCTCTGTGTTTACTTGATCGGGTTTGAGCGGCTTGGGACTGGCGGGTGAGAGAGATTTGCCCTGACTGTGGGCCAGGCAGGAAAACTCTAGCAACAAATGGCGCCCAACGTGGGGCAAGAGTTTCCACCTAAAACCTAAAAAAAAAAGATTCTAAAACGGAGCTAAAAACAGTTCCTAATTGTCTCTCTCAAATGAGCGGCAGCTGCCGGTTTGAGCTACTGGCGGGTTGCTGGCGTGCGCGCTCGACCTGCAGTATGGCGGGAATGAGGCCTCAACAAGTGGCACATTAAGCTACATTGTGGATTTAGCCTTTGCTAGTACAAAACAAAAAAAGAGGTTTCTGGGCTACACGCTACTTGGATAAAAGCATAGACCCACGATGGCTCCCAGAGCTGGCGGTAAGCATACTGCCGCCATGTTGGGAAGCTGAGGTGGGCGGAGCCAGCAGCCACAGCAGCTGCAGCTTAAAGCAACAGATTCACAATAAGACAGATTCAGATGTAATAGTTTAAAATGTGTGTAAAATATACGTAGGCTTAAAAGAGACAAAAAAAGGTGATATATACAGTATAGAAACAAATACATGGTTTTAAAAAATAAAGTCTTTAAAGAGACAGTAAAATTAATATAAAAAATAAGCCACGTAGAAATGACTATTACACAGAGAGTCTGGATTGTGTTGTCTTTGGGATTCTTAACTACAGAGAGATATTTGATTATAAAGAAAGCTGAGTTAAACCAGTATGTATATTTTAAAGATACTTTGACTTCAAAATTTGGATGTAAGGATATGTTGCTTTAGAAAAGAGTCTCTTTTGTTTCCACAGAAAGCAAGAGGCTATGGATTTGTTCCAGAGTAAGATACATCAGGTTTGACCAGCCAAGACCCCCTGAAAGGTCTCCGATGACACCATGGCCCAGATGATCCAACATCCAGAACCGTTTCAAGACAACTGGCTCAGATGATACAGCCTCACGGACTACTCCATGATCCTAAAATTTTCTTTGTTTCCCCAGAAGATACAGCGCCCCCCTCCAGCAGGAAATAGTAAGAAAAGCTACGCCCAAATTCCCAAATATACCAAGCTGACTTTGGAGATATATAAAGGTTAAAACCTTCCTTTTTAAGAAAAGAAAAGGGGAAGTACTGTGGGATGGTCTGTATGTCAAATGTGTTGCTGATTGGTCAATAAATAAATCACTGATTGGCCATTGGCTAGGCAGGAAGTATAGGCGAAACAAGGCGGAGAATAGAGCTGAAAAGTGAAAGGCTGAGGCAGAGACACTGCCAGCCGCCATCAGGACAAGGAAGATGTAAAGTACCGGTAAGCCACAAGCCACGTGGCAAGGTATAGATTAATAGAAATGGATTAATTTAAGCTGTAAGAACAGTTAACAAGAAGCCTGCCACGGCCATACAGTTTGTAACCAATATAAGTCTCTGTGTTTACTTGATCGGGTTTGAGCGGCTTGGGACTGGCGGGTGAGAGAGATTTGCCCTGACTGTGGGCCAGGCAGGAAAACTCTAGCAACAGTTCTGTGCCCTGGAGAAATCTGCTGACCACAGACACTACACTTCTTCTTTTCAGTGTCACACTGGAAGCTTAGGCTAGCCTCATGATCCACTCCCTCAATTGCACACGCACAAAGACAACTGAAAAGCAAAAGCCAAGTCTGATCTCGTCATCCAGAAAGAGCTCAAAGGTTAAGAACCCTTGCTATTTCCTCTAAACTTGATTTGAGATTAAAAAAAATTCATTAGTGGCCCAAAGCTGTAACCAAATAAATTGTCAGACTCAGTATTTCAGGACAAAAGAAGGATGACGAATGACAAGCCAGAGGAATGCTTAAAGAATTCTATTTGGGAATGTCACTTTTAGAAAATGAAATAACATAGAAACAGACATCTCTGCTCCACCCAATTCCTGGCTGGGAGGCCAAAACAATTTTTAGTACTTATTCATTTCAATAGGAAGCTATGTAAACCATGGGTCTGGTAACAGAGTACCAGTGAAGTTCAAAACACCCTGGATACAAATTACATATACACACGATTATAATACAGTAAATGAAGTATAACATATTAAATATAAATATACATATACACATACTTTGGATTTCCTCTTAAAGAACCCCCCCAAAAAAGATTTATTTATTTATTTTGGTTTTTCGAGGTAGGGTTTCACTGTGTGGCCCTGGCTGTCCTGGAACTCACTCTGTAGACTGGGCTGGCCTCGAACTCTCAAACTCAAGAGATCCACCTTTCTCTGCCTCCCAAGTGCTAGGATTAAAGGCGTGTGCCACCACTACCCAGCTATTGGGCTATTTATTTCTAATTGTGTGTGTGTGTGTGTGTGTGTGTGTGTGTGTGTGTGTGTGTGTGTACAATGCATGTGAATGCAGGTACAGGTAGAGCCCCCAGAGAAGAAGCTGGATCTCTTGGAGCTGGAGTTACAGAGTGTTGTGAGCCACCTGACAGTGAGACTTGAACTTGGGTCTTCCACAAGAGCAGTACTTGCTCATAACTGCCGAGTCATCTCCCCAGCCCCAAGTACTTTTTCTCATTTGTCACTTTCAGAGTTTAAATTAGCGTACTGTTTCCGGCAACTGTTTCTCATGTTACGTTCCCTACAAAGAATCCTGTTTGAAATGAAATGAGGAGCTGTCTGTGTCGTGGCCCACGTCTAGTTGGTTCAGCAGGATGAGAGGAAATGATAGGTCCTCCCTGCTCAGCCCCGCAGCCCATCTCAGTGTCAGGACGGGGATGTCAGGACTCACCAGACGTTGGGTAAAAACGGAAACGTCCTCTGTGCGGTTGTCAGAGTTCATCTTCAGCAGCCTCCCAAGTCTAGGGGGACTGACAACCGTAAAGGTTATCGTTCTGTTTCCTGCCTTGTCATCGCTGGTCACGGCTCTCAGGGCATGAGACGAAAGTGCCTTCGTGGAACCTAAGATTCAAATACGCATCTAAGTACAAAGCACACAAAGGTGGCCGGCTCCTCAAACAGTCTCTCTAGACTTCTGAGAACTGCCTGGAGAACGCACCGATATGAATGGGAGTGCTAGCTATTATCCACAACTGGACAATAGGGGGCGGGTAGTGATCCCTGGGATATCTTCTCATGGACGTGACTTGCTCCTGAACCCCAGGAAAAACCAGCTCCTCAGAGCTTCTCCTCCAGCCAAGGCCTGGCATCTGTCTGATTCCCTAGAGAAAAGAGTCCGTGCCAAGGCCTCTGCGGCTCAGCCCTGGGCATGTAAAGAGAGATCTGATTGTGTGGTGCTGGGAACCCAAGAGACTGTGGTTCCTAGGAGGGTGGAGCTTGCCTCCTAAGTAAGTATGAGGAAGCTCCCTGGCCTGCATCAAAGGCCATGTGAACGTCAGGGTTCTGGGTACTGAAGGACCATCCTCATAGGATGGAAGGTCTGACTGCTCAAAGCTTTCTTTGAGACCAGAATCTTCCCACATTTCTTCTTCTAACCTTCTCAAAAGGGCTTTAGCATGAGTCCTCTGCAGAGTAGCCCTTGGAGTAGGTACTTTGTAAATGACTTTTGAGTTTTATCCAATAATATTAGTAAATAATAGCTATTTATTATAATATTATAGCTATATAATAATAAAATAATTATTTATGCAATAATAACCAAGCCTCCTAAATGACATCCAGTTTTGCTCTCCTTCCTTAGCCTTTGTGGTCTTGGATAGGAAGGGCCACCATATTTGATATTTAAAACCACATTAGGCATTTGATAATTCCAAGGAGAAGGCAGCTCTGGGTCTGGATAACTTCCAAATTTGCAAGGACTGTTCTGAGTCCTTGTTCATTATGGAGGTGCCATTCAAAACACTGGAACCTCTGAAATGAACACTAGGTTCTTGCGGGTGAGGGAGGTGAGCCTCAGGTTCAGGATCTCTCTCACAAGCTTAGCCGCTGCACAAGACACTCGTGGGCCACTTAGAAGTCCTCATACATTCTTCTCACTGCTTACTGTAGCCACTTTCTGGCTTCTAGAGCTGGTGGTCAAGATTAGAGGTCACACTGGGCAGGCTGAGAGGCTTGTTTCTGTGCCCTCGATCAATGTTATAAAGTCATAACTGGGGCTCCCTCTGTCAGCTGTCAAATTTCCTATTATATGTATTATGTATAGTCCTGACCACCTCAATATCCAACTTGCCCATCCTCAGCTGCTCTTTGGAACACCCCCTCCATGCCTCAATTACTCTTCTTATAAGTGACCCTGTTTCATAACTCAGTTCTTCCTTTACTTCCCAGGTTATCTTTAAGGGACAGGAAGTAAAAGGGGGACTCTTTAAAAAGTGTCATTTTTTTTTTCTATCCAAAGGATAGGAAATCAGTTTGTCAAGCCTCCTTCTATATCAGACGGCTAGTCACGATAATCAAATGAGGGAGTCAGCCTGAGTGCACATACCAGATGGGCTACAGAAAACGTGGGGCTCAGTGGGGAAGAGTGCTTGCTGCCAAGCGTGAGGACCAAAATTCAATCCCTAGACCCTATATGTGTAAGGGGAGAATGAACTCTGGTATCCTACCACACGCACTCTGTTGGGCACACACACACACACACACACACACACACACACACACACACACACACACACAAATAAACAAACGTAATTTAAAAGGTTTTCAGAAAGAAAATGTGATATGTCTATACAGTGTAATAGTAAACCCTCCAGCATATACTACGAATCCCTTCTCCTTTCTTTCCGTTCCTCCTACAAGGGATAGATGGGTCACTGACGTCATTTCCTTTCTTTCTTTTGTGACCTGAGGTGCAGGATTCAGGAGAATTTGGTCCTTTGTTGGTGAACTGCTTGACTCTGGACTCACAGAAGCTTACCTCTACAGCATTACCATAATACTTTCTGGGTTAATCTCTCCAACACTAGAGACCAACATTCCTTGAACAAGAGCCAAGTACAATTTGGATAAACAAAAAAATCTACAGCCTAAGGCCAAAGTATATTCCACCATGACACCACTGAAGTTAAACAAACAAAATCTATGGTAGAATTCAATGTGAAAAATGCTTACAAAACCTCGTCTTGAAGAATCAGTCACAGAGAAGGTAAAAGAACACATGTCAATTAAATACATACGAACACCTCCCATACATACATATATATATACATGTTAAATCCACACATATCTATATATGTATTCAAAATGTATGCAATAAAATAAGACAATCTGAAACATTAAAATAAAATACAATAAAAATATGTTTTAATTTTACTTAGCTCACAAAAAATGTTTCACTTAGAGTAACTATTAAAAACTGATATTCAAATTTGGCAAAGCATAGAAGGTATAGTTAGTCTTAAAACATTCCCATTCTATGAACTCTAATAATTACTTTGGCTTGCCATGCACATTTTATAAGTGTCAAGCCACGGCTGAGTGTACAAAGGAGCTAACACAGAAACTTCCGAAGTCTGAGGCGCTGCAGAGGAAGTGCAAATGGTACGGTATGGACCAGATGTGAATTCAATTTCTTAAAGGCTGAAATTTTTTTTTTTGGGTTGTTACTAACTTACACCAGGTAGCAATACTTCCCCAACCAAAGGGATTAAAGTGTGTAACATTGCTACGTAATTGCTGTGACTATTAACTCGCTGCACATTTTTTTGGTTGTGCATGTCAATGTATCAGTAATGCTTAGGAAACAAAATAAACACCAACCCTGATGTCCCTTTCTCAGGGAACTGACATTCTATAAGAGACAGCCTGGGATGCTGGCCTACACATAAGGAGTATTATATATTATACAAGCTCTAGATTTGGGGTCAGAATTGCTATGCTCCCTGGAGAGCTTAAGACTTCTGTAAGCTCTGAGACACTGAGACCTCCTGAGTCTCCTATCTTTCAACTGCCAATGGCAATGTTCAGAAGTTGTGTTGTTATATACTATTTCACTTAAAATTTGTATAATAACCCAGGGTAGTAATTCAAAATGTAAGCATCAGTAGCTGAATGTCCAGCCTATAATAGGAATAGATTTTCTGCTCCTGCAATAGCTCTAAAACAAACCATGCTTCTACAAAAACAACTGACTTTCCCCTGGGATTTTAGAATATGGAAGTTCTGACCACATGGTTCTGCAATGGCCGACATTGAACATCCTACATCATTCCCAGAGGCAAGATACAGCATGCCTCCTTGCCCTTCACGGGACACGGCATAACATGGTGAGGATGGGACCTTTCAAGGAAGATACAGAACGTGGCATCTATCATCACCTTACAGCTTCCCACACAGCAGCTGGGACAAAAGCCCTCGGGACCACTGAAGGCGCCATGCTGAGCAAGGTTAGGTGGGTCCCTGGAAAGGGGCAAGGTGACAAAACCACAGGAATCATGTCCATGCAAGGTAACTCTGACATACAACTGGTGGCCCCTGCTACTTGGGAAAGCTAACACAGGAAAAATAGTAGGAACAGCAGGACCAGGTGGGCCATGAGGTCCACCGGAACTCTGGGACTTCTGATTCCAGTTAGGAGCTTTCATTGAACATCAGCACCACTCAAGAGAGGTGGGTATGAAGACTCCTTCTTCCTCCTGGCAGAGCTAGAACAGGAAACAAGGCAGGGTGGAGACGTGGCGACCAAGACAATCAACTGAGCCAACAGGGCAGGGAGGGTTTTGAGAGTGAGGCCAGCATCTGAGTTCCAGCAGTGAGCTCTTGAGACACGCAGGGGCTGTGTAGACGCAAGACTTGCTGGAGAGAGAAACAGTCACCAGGACTGTGGCCAGTAACGCACACAAAGCTGTAAAAACTCGACGTTTTACATGATCTTCTGAAGGTCAAACAGGAATTTGGCCACTTTAATATATTTCTTTTTTCCGGCTACACTGATTCAGTAAAACATTCACCAGAAACTCAGAAGTGTCGGAGCTACGGTGTTTCTGTCTTTCCTCTAATACAACTGTCATTAATTATTAAACCAGACTTTGCTGAGCTACATGAAAGGTACTTAATCTTTTGCAGCAGCCACAATTACCCTAGTTTTGGAATTTTAAAAATAGATTACCATGTTTTTCCGATTACTGAAATGTGGCTGATTATTTGTTTTTTTTTTTAAAACACTAAATGACTTCCTAATTGCCTCGGGGGCAGGGGGGAAGTGGTAGACGTTTCATACTTATCCGGAGAGAAAATTTACAGAGCATGGGAAAAATCAAGTTTTATAATAGAAGAAGTATAGGTGACAGATCCCTTGCTGCATTCGGAAAGGTTCCTCTCTGCAAAGTTAAAAGCTGAGGACAACTGAGAACTTACAAATGAACCTTTAAGGGTGGGGCCGCAGCTCAGTGGTGAGGGCTGGCCTAGTTTCAACCTCAGCATTACCACCATCACAATGAAAATTAACGAAACATTCCAGCAGTTACTGTAAAAAATAATAATAATAATAATAGCAAACCAAGTGTCATTTCCCTTGAAGTCTGTTACGGAAGCAGGAGGGTTTGCTCCAGCCCTCGCCGCCAATTTGTATTTTCTCCTTAAGTCACAGAGCCCACCAACTTCCCAAGGATATGTTACCTAACTCATAAGTACTGAAATACGGGTGCAGTGTCTAGCCCTGTGATCCCAAGGCTAGAGCACTAGCCACCTGGGGGCTCACAACCATCTGTAACCCCAGTTCCCGGGGACCTGATACCTTGCTCTGACCTCTGCAGGCATAGGCATGAACAGGGTGCATAGACATACATACAGGCAAAACACTCATACACCTAAAATAAAAGAAATAAATCTAAAAAAAAGTGTTTTTAATAAGCCAGGCCCATTCCAGAGACTCCCATTCAACTTGTATAAAGTTAGAAGCAGGCACTGCTGTTTTTGGGATTGCTGGCTAGCTGGACCATAATAAATCAAGTCATCGGTGCCCCTCTCCATCTATGTTTGATTGCTAATGTCTGTCCTTTAAATAGGTTATAAGGCACAGGACTGCTCTGGCCTTTCCTTCTTCCCAACATTCAGGCCATGTTGAGATGTTATTGTTTCCACCTCAGTGCTTTTGTGGAAATAACAAATTCCAGCTTTTTTTTTTCTCTCTTTATTTTTTTACCCTTGCCATTGGGTAAATCTTTCCCCTCTCCTAAGGGCATTGGCCAGAGGGGCTCACAGCTCCTTCTATACCAGCCTGGCTTAGGTTATTGGCAAACAGTCACTCAAAGCCAGCACTAATGGAAAACACTGGCAAGCCCTGGGTGCTGCAGACGACCTTCCGATTCAAAATCCATGCAGTGTGAAGAAAGTAAAAGGACATAGGGAAGGCCCTGAGTTCAGTTCCCAGCACCGTGTACACGGGGCATGGTAGTGCAAGCCTCTAATTCCAGCACTCGGGAGGCAGAGGCAGGAAGATCAGAAGTGCAAGGTCACATGCAGCTGCTACACAGTGAGTTCAAGACCAGCCTGGGCTACAGCAGATGGAGCTCCAAATGCATGAATAATAGAGCTCTGGGGTGTGTAAGGAGGGAAGGAGAGTAAACTACACAGACAGGAAAGACAGCCCCTTCCATGACCCCTTCCCACCGCTCTTCTCAGCCCTTCCTTCCCCAGGGAAGAGGCAGGGGGAAAGACAGAAGGGTTGCGAGTGCCAGCCTTGCTGCTGTCAAATTTCTGCTGGGGATTCTGTGGGGGTGGAGGACTTAAGAGATGTTGCTGGAGTCACTCCACAGTGAGGGGCATCACTTTATGCCATCCAAGTGGGTTTTCTGAATGGATAGGAAAACACTTAACCCCTCCCTCCCCCCAACACTCTCTAAGCCTCTTACTTGGGAAGATGCTCAATCCTCTGTTGACTTCTAAGCTAATGATCAGAGCTCTGGCTGTGATGCTGAAGATTTGCCGAGGTGCAAAATTCAAACCGTCAGTTACCTGGAAATTAAAGCCTCCTGACATTGCTCCTTCAAAAGAAGAAGATACACTCTGGTCAGTTTGATTACCCTGCAAACGTCACCTACCTCCACGCTCTCTCCCTCCATGGTCCCCTGCAAGTAAGACATAGCAAGTTTGACAATGTGTTAATTAGCCACTGAGCTCACTGAATCAAATGCTGCTGCATGCCACATACATTTGGATCTACAACAGACAGCCCGGAGGACTGTGGTCGCATAGACTGTATCACCCAGAGATGTCACAGCCTGCTTAGGATGTTCCATGATGTTTGCATACTGATGAAATCATTTCTCAGTGTGTCCCTGACTTTAAGTGATACTGGATTGTATTATTGACAAGAAACAAAGTTAAGACACATCAATAAAGGTTAAAATGCAGATTCCCTTGACCTCTGACATAGTAAAAACAAAGCACAGATGTTACCACTGAGTAATTTTTGAATAAAAAATACTCATCACCTGTATTTTATTATTTTGAAAGCAATCCATATCAGTGAAGTAATATATGTCTATAACTACACAAGTAATTTTTGACATGTTGAGAGAGCTCTATACCGAAAATCAAAACTTAAGGGAAGGGATTATTTAGCATCCTGCAGCTACTACAAACAGTTACACTTTTAGTGACCTATGCAGAAGAAAGTGTGGGAAGAGCGCAGCTCAACCCTGCACAAAGAACTGTGGGCAACTAGGAAATGCCGAGAGAAGGAGAAATAGGCTTTCCCAGGGAAGAGCACACCGACTGGCTGTCCAATGCCAAACAGCCAACCCTGAAAACACACACACACACACACACACACACACACACACACACACACACACACATGTAACAATGAAAAAAGAGGCCATACATTTGAAAGAGCGTTGGGAAGGGTATATGGGAGCTTTGAGAGGGAGGAAAGGGCAAGGGGATAGTATATAATTATATTATACTCTCAAAGGATAAGAGAAATTAACAAACAAACAAATATCCATGTCAAACTAACCATATTCTGAGTGGAAAGAGAAGGGAAGGGAATGACCTGGCCTCACTTTCATTAAGGCTCTGCACAGAGATTGCACTCCCACATTGTCAGACTAGGAATGCTGTAAAGTGGAAAATTGACTTATGTACATCAGTGAAATGGAGATGGACCAGCATCGACCCAGTTCCCCAGGGTGCTTTACCAGTCTGACTCACAAGGCAGCAGGCAAGACCTCTATGCAGGGAGACTGGGGAGCCACATTCCCATCACTCTTTGAAAATGTCCATCTAGTAGTAAATTAAAAGCCTACAAGCCCTTACAGAATGTACTAGGTAGAAATGTGTCTTTGCTGCCCAGGGGGAAATAAGGCAAGGAATGAAGGCTGTATGGTCAGACTGCAACTAGGTATGGGTACTCCCTTAGTAACACAGATCGACACGAGGTAGGTGGATACTTAACATCTTTTAAGTCTTAGCTAAGCAGAGCTTACTAGGAAGCCCCAAAACCTTACCAGAATGTTCACAGGTGGTGGGTTTTTTGTTTTTTTGTTTTTAACCAACATGTTCATAAGTCACCATTAAAGAGCCAGAGACTGGGAAAGAAAAGGGCACTGAGTGTGTCGAACTCCTAACAGGGCTCACAACCAATTGTTTTGCATTTATTTGCTCTCCTGGAAATAGCTTTTCAAAGTTGTATTTAGTGAAACACAGAATTAAAGAGAGAATGCCTTCTATCACTAGGAATTCTGAAAGTACCTTATGAATCCAGAAATAAAATAGGGACAGAACCGGAGGAATTTCATCAAAACGAAAACAAAATGTTACACAGAGTGGGACCTAACACTAAGTAGATCAAAGAAGACCAGGAAGGAAGCGACACATAGGGTGATCTGTAGACTTTCTATGGCAGGGCTCGGAGTTTTCCCAAAGGTACTTTCAGGAGGGCAAGTGACGGAGAGCCCCTGGCTGCCCACATCTTCGCTGTATCAAACGACTTACGTTGTTGTATGGACTGGCGAATTCAATTACTGCAGAGCACTCTGCAAATGTAAGATGCTAAGCGAGATTAATTAAACCTTCCCCCTTTGTTTGGGGCTGGTGATGGACAGATGGACAGCTGGTTTCAGCAACAGAGGCATCTGCAGCTGGGCTCCAGTCCTTTGAGAGTGAGCTTGCCTCAGTGTCCACTTATGAAGGAGAATGAATTAGCCTTCGCCTTATCCTGGCCCCTACCTCCCTTTTCTTCTTCTTCTTCTTCATTTTTTTAGAAGTTGTTTTCTCTTATCTACTAAAAGCAAATATTGACCTGGTAGCTGACAAGTCAATCAACCCAGAGAGCTCAGGGTTGTTTCCATCCATCACTGCAAATGGTAACCCCATCCTCCTCTGACCTGCCATGCCCTTCAGTGGAGAAAGACCCGCTTCAGGGGCAGGCCAAGCTGAGTCTTTCTGAGCTGTAGGTCTCTTCATCTCATAAATGGGGTCATGACTCTGTGTGGCTCAGAGGACTAGGAGCACTTGTGCATCGACATGTTCAGTGTGACGGTGTCTCCTGCGCTGCCTGACAGACGGAAGAGATTTAGGAGAGTGCCGAAATAAATCTATGTGCTGGGTCCCAGGCTCCAGTCTGTGGCCGCCACATGAGAGCGAGCATCCACATGCTAAACTGTGTTCAGATTCTTGGGGGAGTGTTAAGTGCACAGATCATCAGGGCATCATTACCTCTGAATTTAGAGGGTGTCTTAGCTTCCTTGTCTGTATTATATTCTCAAAGAAGACAGTTTAAACTAACTGGGGAAAGAGTGAGATTTAAGCTTTCAGGTTATGCATTCCTGGATCGAGATCCTTTCCTCTCCAGCTGCTGCCTACCCTGGTCCACTGACAAGGACCGACTTATAACAAAGCCACGCCACCCTGGCAGAGTTCCTGGGCCAACTTTCCAGTAAATGTCGTCGGTATTGATTCACTGAATGACTAACAGGAAGCAAAAAGGGCCTCCAACCAACATCAGGATCTCATAAATACAGTGACAGCCATTCATTCATGAATGCAATGCTTGTACAAAAACTGCTTTGTTCACTCATGCATCCTCAGCATCTAGAATGGTACTACCTGACACACAGTTGGTGTTCAAAATTATTTGTTCAAGAAAGTTGTATTTATGAAGCACCTATACTATGTTCTAGTCAACGTTTGGGTGGGGGGTGAGGATATGAGAAAGTCTGCTCTTTCTTAGAACGCTTGCACTGCCATGGGGAAGGGAGATAAAAAGTAGAGATCTAACTCAACCTACACTAGTCTCATAGTCAGGGCAAGAGTGGAGAGTCCCAGAGAGATGCTGCGCCAGTGGGTGGAATAGGCTCTCATGGAAGGTAACTAGCCCTCCTGAGTAATCCTCGAGGGAGGCTCTAGTGATTTTATTAGCTTTTCTAAACATGTTCTTTAGAATCCTCCAGCGCTTGGGAAGTTTCTCCATCCCGTGCTCTTCAGTCAGCAATTCTGAGGTTCGACAGCCACATCACTCGCTGCTCAGAACACAGCTACTTGACCCTGCTCTGCGACTTACCAGAGTGTACGAACACCAGCTGACCCTCATCGATTTGCGCCTGAGTGAAGTTCTGGACGCTTCTGCCGGGAACGGACTTGAGGGCCAGGTGCCCATTGCTGGGAGGAGTGACCCAGTAGACCAAGTCCTGTGGGGAAGAGTCCCCATCTTCTGCACAAAGGTCATCTCTGGTCATCTCAGTGACAGAATTCACCCACACCTTAAAGAGAAGAGAACCGATTCCAGTCCAAGCACATAGTCAGGACCCGGGGCCCCATTGGAAAAGATGAAAAAAAAAAAAAAACAAAAAAAACTAAGCCAGTTCACCGGAATTTTTAAAGAATGGAGGTGCTTTTTTAAATTTTAATTGTATGCATATAGGTGTTTTACCTGCATGTGTATCTATGTGACACATACATGTCCGGTGCCAACAATTTAGATGAAAAGTATTCACTAACGATGTACTCAACGTTAATTACTCAACAGTGCATATGCACTGATGTAAATATCTAACTATAGAGCCAATGGTTACAAAGCACCCTGTGTGCTGAACCAACGCTAAATACACCACACGAATCTCAGCTAATGCAGCATCTGCTTCATTAGGTTGGTTTGAGAACATCTACGCATTGCTTTCAGCAGCTAATGGTCTCACCAGCTTTTAAACAGTCGGGGAGGAGAAACACACATTGCACATTTGTTTTTTCCTTATTCTTCCTGTCTTACAGGAAAACAAGGGCCTGGGTTCTTTGTTCTCGTGCGGTCTGCTGTACTGATGGTTCATATCTGTAACCATAGCCGAGAAACATGGCTGCTTTCCTCTGTTAAAATCTATGTGCATTGCCTAAACATTTCTCTCTGTCTCTTGCTCTCTCTCACTCTCTCCTCACACCCATCTCCTCCACACTGTGTGTGTGTGTTCAGGTGTGTGTGTATGCATATTCATGTGTATGCAGGCACGTGTGTGTGTGTGCATGCATGCATGCATGCATACATACATACATGCGCGCGCGCACACACATACCTATGGAGACCAGAGGAAAACCTCATGCATCTTTCTTCAGGGGCCATGCACTTTGTCTATTTTTTAGCAAAGTCTCTCACTGGGACCTGGGGCTCATGGATTAGCCCAGGCTAACTGTCCAGAGAGCTCCAGGGATCTGCCCATCTTTACTTCTCCAGCACTGAGATTACAAATGCATCACCACGACTGGGACATTTTTATGTGGACACTGGGGATCAAAGCCAGGTCCTCACACACGCATGGTAAACACTTTACTGACTGTACTTAAGCATCTTAACAGTTCACCAAATTTATTGTTCATCTACCATGCGCCACCAAGTATTCTGGACACTTGCACTGTATCAGTGACTGAAACGAAGGAGTCATGTCCTTGTGGAACTTGCACGTCAGCAGAGGGCACAGAAGGACACAGAGAAGAAGCAACAGGCACAGTAGGAAGTGAACAATATAGTGAGTTATAACATCACTACACCATGAAAAAGATAAAACAAAGTAAGGGAATTCTGGGATGTGGAGGAAGGCCAATGGGATGAAAGAGAGGCCGTGCATATATGTGCATATTCAGGCACGGGAGAAGTGGGCGCAGGGCAACACTGGCATTAGCTCAGGAGTAGGAGGAGTGATGAAGAGGCCAATGTGGCAGGAAGAAAAGAAGCAAGATAAAGGAGAAAAGATGTTTCAAGACAGAAGAGATGACCAAATATGCACTGTCAAAATGTCAGCTTGTCCTCAAGGGCAGGGGGAGAATTCAAGCAGAGTCCTGACCTGGTACCTGAAGTATCCAACCAGTCTGGCTTCATGTCATGATGGTCTGTAGAGGCAGGGAAACCCACCAGTGGGTGACTACAAGGACCCCAGAAAGAAGGACAGAAGGAAGGCTTGAAGCACAGCGGGACGGGAAGGGGTCTGGTTCTGGGAGTCTGCTGAAGGTGTGCATGAGAATTACAGGGGGAGAAAAGTGGGGGGCTGATGGCATGTTTGGGGCCTTGCCAGTGAGAAGGGGACATTCCCACATTGAAAGGTGGACAGCTTCATGGGGGGGGGGGTGGACTGCAGAGATCAGGAGTTCACTGTTGAGTCTAGAATGATTTGGACACTGAGTCTCATCAGATGGAACCAGAATGCCAGAGTTTCTAGACCTGGGAGTCACATGATGGGGTGATTTGAATAAGAATGGCCCCCATAACTTCACATATTTGAATGCTTAATTACAGGGAGTGGAACCCCTTGATAGGATTAGGAGGACTAGGAGGTGTGGCCTTGTTGGAGGAAGTGTGTCACTGGGGGTGGGCTTTGAGGTTTTAAAAGCCCGAGCCAGGCCCAATTGCTTTCTCTGCCTCCAACTTACAGATCAGATGTAAGCCCACAGCCACTGTTCCAACACCACGCCTGCCTATCTGCTGCCATGCTCCCAGCCATGAAGGCCATGGGCTCACCCTCCGAAACTGTAAGCAAGCTCCCAGTTAAATGTTTTCTTTTGTAAGTTTCCTTGGTCATGGTGTCTCTTCACAGCAATAGAAAAGAAACTAAGACAGTTACTGACTTGAAGATCAACTCATGTCAGTAACAACAGCACTGCTCAAAATTCAAATGCTTGTGTTAAAACTATTTGTGTTCAAAAACACTGGGTTTTGTGTTTGTCCAGTGACAGTCAGGGTTCAAGTCCCTGTCTTGGTACTTACTAGCAATGTAACCTTTCCACATCTCTTAATTTCTCTGGGTCCTAATTTCTTCATCAGTAACAAGGAATGACGGGGTGATTATGTATGCTGGGTGATTTGATTTATGTATTTAGCACAACTTTACCTGACACAGCAAGTCTTCAATAAATACTAGCTTTGTGTTACCCATTTTCTTCAAACATGATTTGGTTGTGGTGCTCAGTGACAAATCCAGGTTCTTTTATGTGCCAAACAAGTGTCCCATCACTGAAGATACACACTCAGCCCAAACACTAGATTCATTTTTATGTATGCATGCCTGTGTCTATACACACATATATGTGTGCAGGTACCCTACCCGGCCAGCAGAGGGACTCTTATCTACTGAACCTAGAGTTACAGGTCATTTTGAGCTGTGCCATGTGGATGGATGCTGAGAACCAAACCCCAGGCTGGAAGAGCAGCAAGTGCTCCCAACCAGCAAGTCATCGTGTGGGACACTCTTCAACAGCACTCAAGAGTGCCCCTGCTGTGGTGACAGCACCAAGGTTATTTCCTAACCACACACTTCCTAGTCTGCTTAATGCCACAGCATCCATGATGGGATGAGGAGTTCACCTGTTAAAAACTGCGATTACTGATGGGTTCTCTCTCACCGTTTGGAACACACTCGCTGGATACTTTCTGCCCCAAGCTCTAAGGACATCAATTTTTTAATGTCTACTAAAACCACAAAATTAATGGAGTGTTCAAATGACAAGATGTTGGCCTTCATTTAACTTGTGGAAAGGCTGCAGTTTCTATAAAATATGTAAGTCAGCGTGTTTAATGAAAAATACCTTGCCCAGTCATTCCTGTTTCAGGATTTACATTTTAAAATCATTCCATGTGGCTTATTTTTATTTCTTCAGGAATGAAAACTTATTTGGGAATGTGCTACCATTTCTCTTCCTATGACTTGTAGACACTCGTTTTTCCAATCAAAGCACAGATGACCCGCCAGAGCACATTTTCCACCATAGTCCCTCTACAGCTACACGGTGCTTTTTCCCCCTCTCACGTCTGGAATATACCATCTTCCAAAACAAATGGAAAACCTGTCCCTTAAAACAAACACTCCCTCAGGTCTTCATTTCTACTCATATCCAATGTAGGTCCATCAGCAGTCCCATTGCTTCCAGGGCAGCTTGGTTCAGTGCCCAGCTTTGGGCCACAGTAACTTCAGATAGGTTGGGGGAGGACAATGATGACCTTGGACTTGAATTCAGATCTGAAAGTGATCCAAAGTTCAAAAAATAACTGCCTGAAAGACAGAAACAATCAACCCTGGAGCATGTCATCCAAATTCACCTTAGCGTGTAAGAGGAAGTGTGGTTGACCTATGGGCAAACCTATTGGTTCTAGTTACAACCCAATGCCATCCAAGTTGTGATACCAACATTCAAAGACCCCGACCTTTGTTTCGGATCTCAGGGGAGTTGTGGAAAATGTTCTGAACTTGATGCCCTTCTGTGTGGCGCTCCAGGATGGCAAGTGACTCTTAGCCCTTCCTTCTTCCACTGTACCTGGTTGTGAAGCTCCTTTCAGTGACAAAGACTGGCCAAAAACAAACAAGCCGGGCCAGGTGGAGCTCAGAGGAAGAATTCTTGGCTAGCACACACCGGGCCCTGCGTTCAATCCCTAGCACCGTCCAAAGCCAAGCCAAGCCAAACAGAAAATTAACTAAATGGTTCTATTTTTAGGGTAAAAACAAGGCAAATCACTATAGTATTATATTACAGTGCTATAGAAACTTGGAAAATGAAGAAATGAAGCCCCCTTGTGGACAGAATTTTATGTGGCCTGTATTTAAAAAAAAAAATCACTGGTTATGCTTAGACACAAAAAACACTTTTAGGGACGGACTTCCGAGTCACTTGGGATGGCCTGACTCTGAGTCTGGGTTGTCAAAACACAAATGATCCCACACACCACCAAACGGCCTTACCGACAGAACCGAAAGGCTGGTGGTTTCGGGATGTGTCTTGTTACTGCAGAAGAAACGCATTCCTTGAAGTGCTGAGTTAGAGAAGGTCATGGTTGGACTTGGGCTCTGAACTCCCATCCGGAGTCTAGGATGCCATGGGGACTCTAGTCTCCCAACCCTCACGGCCTTCTCCAAAGCAGACTCCGGGTGAACATTCTTGCTATCACAGGCCCTGACAAGAGTAAGAAGCATAAGGCCATGTCAGATCACCTGAAGGAGGTCAGAAATGACATAAAATCTGGGCCAGGGAGATGGCCCAGCAGGTAAAGGCACCTGCTGCCAATTCTGAGGCCCCGAGTGTGATCCCTGGGACCTACACTGGAGAAGAAAAGAATCAACTCCCTGCAGGTTGTCCTCTGACCTCCACACTTGTGTTTGGTGCCCATGCGTGCCCCCTTCCATGCCCCAAAATAACAAATATGATTTAAGAAAGAAAAAAAGTGAAAGAAAGAAATGTGAATCTGAAGGCCTTGTGGGAGTCACATTTTGCCTCTGTCCCAGATTCTGTC